GGATGAGGCTTGTTCGTTAAAGGAACAACTCAGTGTGACTTTCACATACGAGGATTTGTTGCTTGGAACTGCCAACCATAACCGACCTTTGTATATTTCAGTTAATATTGAAAGGTTCATGCTCTCAAGGGTGTTAGTGGATCCAGGAGCGTCAATTAACATAATGAATTAACATAATAACATAATGAATCTACGGACTTTAAACTATTTAGAAATTGACATTCGTAAGCTCTCCACCGATAAAATGATGTTGAGAGGTTTTAACCAGAAGGGAGAGAGAGCTATTGGATCCATAACACAATCTATGAAATTGGTGATCTAGTAACACCCGCAAAGTTCCATATCATTGACTCAGAAACTTCTTTCAATGCCCTACTGGGTTGACCTTGGATTCATGAATATAAGATGGTCCCTTCGTCATTGCACCAGTGTATAAAATATTTTGAAGAAGGACAAGAGCGATGCATAAAAGGGGACTTGCAACCATTCTCAGTGCATAAGATCGGAATTCATGAAGATGCTGCCTACTATGCTCCCGTGAAAAGGACAGTTTTCTCCAGAGATGCCGTACCAAGAAAAGCTGAAAATCTAAGAATACTACCAGAACCGAATAGTCGGGTACCGGTTCAACGATCTTCCACCATTCCTCCGAAATGAGAAATTGGAAACTCTTTTAGTCCTCGCATCCGAGATCAAGGCTGGGGACGAGGACGAGGAAGAGTTGGGAAGATTATTGAACAAAGGAATTCGACTATCAATATTGAGTTAGAAGAAAGTTCAGAAGAAGAGAAGACCGGAAAGAATACCATGATGATACGCCAGAAGACGCCACGTTTTGAAATTTCTTTGGAAGAAGATGGAAAAGATGAGTACAATTCAATATATGATAGAATCAACCACTACGTACAGGCCATGACTTTAACCCCTATTAATTTTCACAAAATTGAGGGTTTGGAGGTCAAGGAAGTGCGTGGTGGGGGATTAAAACCAATAAATTTCTATCGTGGTTCTACTTTTGGTCCTAAAATTAATGTAAATTTGGAAGAAGATATTTCAAATGAATTAATGAAATTACCTTTTGATTATTACTCTCTGTGTGTCAAAAAACTTGCTCAACATGGCTTAACACTAGATAAATTATCAAAATACAGGTTGCAACTTTTTGAAGAATTGTGGAATACTAAAAATCGAGATTCTAAATCAAAGGAAGGTCTTGGTTTCGGCACAGTAGGGCCGATTAGTGATACAGAATTTTGCTTGGTTGTTACTAGTAATCCCAATGAATGTTGCTTTGAAGAAGAAGATGATCCTAAGGAATCTGGAATAGAAGATGCTCCTCCAGAGTTTGAGGAGGAAATTAAGTCGACTGTTGATGAATTAAGAGAAATAAATCTAGGGTCAGAGGAAGATCCTAGACCAACCTTCATAAGTTCTTTGCTCAGTGATGAAGAGTCTACAGATTTAATCGAGTTATTGACGGAATTCAAGGATTGTTTTGCTTGGAGCTATGATGAGATGTCAGGTCTAACGCTAGGGGTTGCAATTCATAAACTCAGAATAGACCCCTCCATGGCTTCAGTAAAGCAAGCTCCCAGGAGGATGCGCTGAGCAATTGAGCAGCAGGTCACCACTGAGGTTAAAAAATTGATAGAAGCTAACTTTGTACAAGAAGAACAATATCCAACATGGTTAGCCAACATAGTGTCAGTCAGGAAGAAGAATGGTCAGATCCGTATCTGCGTGGATTTCAGAGATTTAAATAAAACATGCCCGAAGGATGAGTTCTCATTACCAATTCCAGAGCTAATGGTAGACATTGCATCATCACATGCAATTTTCTCATTTATGGATGGATCATCTGAGTACAACCAAATCAAGATGGCACCGAAAGAGGAAACATTTACAGCTTTCAGAACTCCAATTGGGATTTACTGCTACATCGTAATGCCATTCAGATTGAAGAACGTTGGAGCAACTTATCAGCGAGCCATGACGAGAATTTTTTATGACCTCATTCACAATAAAGTCGAATGCTATGTGGATTTTGGTCATTAAAAGTAAATAAAAAGAGGATCATTTGTATGATTTGAGGATTGTCTTCAAACGATTGCGACGATTTAATCTCAAGATGAATCCCCTAAAGTGCGCCTTTGGTGTCATTTCTGGGAAGTTCCTTGGATTTGGATTTGTTGTTCGACACCGGGGGATCGAAATTGACCCATAAAAGATTAAAACGATATTAGAAATGTCACCCCCTAAGAGTTTAAAGCAGTTACGATCTTTTCAAGAGAAATTGACATATTTAAGACGCTTTACTTCTAATCTATTAGGACTGTGTAAACTCTCAATCTAATCATTCCTCCACTTCAACCAACCAACTTGAATTCTACTATTAACATCCCCATCCATATCACCATCGCTTTGAACAACGGAACCAAGATATCTAAATCGTTCACACCTTTTAATAATTTGATCACCCAAAGTCACACTTCTGTCATTAGAGCTAATACTACTAAAATTACATTCCATGTATTTAGTTTTAGTTCTACTTAAATGAAGGCCTTTAGACTTCAATGTAGACCTCCATAATTCAAGTTTTTTCTGGGCTTTTTCTCTTGTTTTTTATACGAGAATGATATCATCAGCAAAAAACATACACCAAGGTACGTCCTCCTGTAGATGTCCAGTAAGACCAAGCATAACTAAAGCAAAAAAGATATGAGCTTAAAGCCGATCCCTGATGTAATCCAACAGAAATAGGAAAATATTTGGTCAATCCTCATCCAGTTTCAACACAACTAACAGCTCTAGTATATATACCTTTAAAGACTTGCCAGACATAAATCCAAATTGATTATGAGAAATTTTTGTGATGCCTCTTAACTTATGTTCAATTACCCTCTCCCATAACTTTAAAGTATGACTCATCAACTTAATTCCTCTAAAATTTGCACACTCTTGTGCATCCTCTTTATTCTTAAAAATGGGGACCAAAATACTCTTCCTCCACTCCTCAGACATCTTTTTAGTTTTTAAAATAATATTAAAGAGTTTAGTAAGCCAAGAAACTCCCAAATATTTCCACACTTAAATAGGGATAACATCAGGTTCTACAGATTTTCCACCCTTGGTTTTCTTTAAAGCCTCATCAACTTTTTTTTACTAATGCGACGGTAAAAATGAAACGTTTTATTATTATTCATGATATTAAGATCACTCACTAAGGTCAATCGTATTTTCAGAAACTTCATTAAAAAGTTTATCAAACAACTCACTCATCTATCTTGAATATCTTTTTCTAGAAAATTATTTTTCGATTTTCATCTTTAATACACTTTACTTAAGTTAAATCTTTACTTTTCTTTTCTCTTTGTTTGGCTAGTTCAGAAACAGAGCATGAGTAGAATAAATAGGCTCACTCAAGAAAAAATTTGGTCTCTACTATCTTAAGAGAAGAGAACAACATAAAACCATTAGTATTATCTCCTTTATCAATACCCCTTAAATCAAATAAAAAAAGCCAGGCTTCACACCTATGCCCGCCATTTATACTTTATTGTTCTCAATATTTCCTTCATCATTTAAAGAAACAAATATCAAAGAATTTAGTTGTAATTTTGTTAGCTAACAAAGCATAAACTAATATTAAAATAAATATCACAAGCAATAATTCCCTTTAAAATTATTTATAATGACATTTTTGAATAATTTTTTACATCTAATATCCTTGAGGCTCGGTAGTGTGTCGCCATTATTAATGATTGCAACCATATGCTCCAATTTTACTACAACAACAACAAAGCCTTAATTCAACTACGTGGGGTCGGCTACATGAATCCTTTTTCACCATTGCGTCATATTTAGTGTCACATTTTCAGATAAAAAAAATTCATGTCATGATTTTGTTCGACACATTTTACGCTGATTGTCGACTACCTAAGGCAACCCTCCACTTTTTACATCCGGGCTTGAGACTGACAATGATAGTGTTATATGCACCAATTTAACTATAGACCAAAAATCACGTAACAACTTTTCCTCCCTTTACAACAAAATCAAAATTCAATTCAGTGTTAAAATTAAAGGAGCTAAATTTAAAAATATAAAAGAATATTTTAACCACTCTCTCTTCACACTTTCAAGAAGAAAATTAGACAAAATTCCCTGTGTATAAGCTCTCCAAAAAAATGGAGAGTTTGAATGAAAGACTGAATATCGAAATGTTATTCTTTAAAAAAAAATGTCCCAAAAAGATATTTGAGGGGAGACAATTTTAACAATCGCACAAGTTATAAACATGTTATTTATAAAGTTCATTGGATTCAATTGTCATACCTAAGCCCTAAATAATTTATTTTTCAATTTCAATACCTCAAATAACCTAGATCCCAAAAATATTTGTTAAGTGCTACACCTTTGTTCATCCACAATCCCAAAACAGGGATATTTTTTTTATTTTTGAGCAAGTTAATGAGTCTTCATTCAGCTCTGGGCAACATTAACAGTTGCTGAACATTACTATATAAACCATAACACCACCCTTGCTTTACTACACCTTTGATAAGTACTTATTCCTTCGACTTTTTCTTTAATTGCATCAGATCTTTTAACGGCTAAACACATTACTTTGAAATAATGCATCATTGTGCAGCATACCAAAGGAAAAGATCATCCTTTACAGATCCAACGGCTAAAATCAAGATTAGAAAAACTATTTTCTATCTATGAAACATTTAAGCTCTATGAGATTGATTAAAGGGAAATGAAACATTAAGCTCTATGAGATTGATAAAAGAGAAATTCTTATTGTTATTTTAGGCATTCCTACTAAGTGTAACCGTACACGTGCAATAACCATTGAATCAGTAAAAAAAAAAGTTTATCAAAACGAGATAGGAATTGCATAATGTTAAAAACAAAAGGATAAGTACCATAAAAAAGAGTAATAAGCTACTTGAAAATGTTCATAAATAACACTTATTAGAAACTGTAATCAGAACCTGATCAATAACAATATATGTACTTGATTCATCTTTCTTCTTGAGGTCCTCAAGTAACTCGACTGCAGTTCTGGAATGCAATATAACAATACACAGTACTAACATGACCAAAGAAGAAAAACAAAAGATGAGGCTAACACTATAAAATATCATGTAGCATACCGAGCTAAGTTGTGCCGCACGCAATACAATACAACTCTACTGCACCCATCAAACCAGTAGCTTGACTCAATTAAGTCATCCAGAAGCTGCTGCAACCTATCCAAATTGCCTTCATTTTGAAGGTTTTCCTGAGATGAAATGGAAATTCTTATAAATATATGTAAAAACATCAAGTTTCATTTCTTTATAGTTTAGGTCAATCAGTCTAATTCAAAGAGTGCTATATTAACATACAATGAGGCTTATGGCAGCTTTGGGTTGAATTTTGTCACCAGCTTGCTTAATTTCATCATATGCAATAAGCGCTTCAGATATTTGTCCATTTGAAGAAAGAGCTGATACAAGTACACTCCGGATTTCGTTCAAGTATCTATGTGGAATGTCAGCATCTCGAATCACCTTCAAGTAGTTAGTATTTGAGGCAAAAAGTACATTAGCAGGAGCAAACATGGAAATTGAAGTAGAAAAAGAAGTTTCAAACCAGGAAAAAAATTATATAGAAGATTCGATGTTTTAAGTGTAAGCTTCAAATATATTAGTTTGAAAGCTACTCACAAATTGTTATCAATTACTTGCTTTAAAACAAGCTTTCAAAAACAAAAGGGTAATTAAAAAGAAAATATGCCTTAACAACAATATAAGAAGAATTACAGATCATTATAAAAGCAATATAGCCAAATGGAACGCATGTTGAATGAACTCAGAGGTATGTGCCCACTTGAACATGCAGTTTTGACCATACTAAGCTTCAAGTTGAAAGGAATGTTGGCCGCCACTACGCCAAATAACATGTTCAATGGCTTCTGAGTTCATTCACGAAGATGTTCTTTATGTTTATTAAACTGAATTTCATTGGTAATTCAGGATGATAAACATAAAATTTTCAACTTAACTAGCACTCATCTACAAAAGGACCAAAGCTCTACATGAGGATCCTGATGTATAGACACTAGTACTTGTTCACTCCATCAAAGTGTTGTAATAATAGCATCCAAGGTCTGACGTAATCAGCAAAGCTGTAATAGATTCTGATTAAAGTTCAGTGAGGAATGTCACCAGATGTTTGCTGCTTTAGTTCTGGCTTACTACTATTTCCTTTTTTTTTTTAATTCACATACATACCAGTATGTGTTAAGCCTTGAATTTATGACCTTATGTTTAAAGACCACTAGACTAAGTGAGCAAATGTACTACTTACTACTCTTTAATGCTTAATGGACTAGGCTTTCTACTTGAAAGCAACCCAACTTACAAAATAGTTCAGTCATTTGGTCACCTTTCTACAACTTTAATGTGAGCTCAAGTTAGTTTGCGGCTTCACAAAATCATTTAAGTAATCGAAGTTCGACAGCTAGATATGATACATTAGCACATGTTATGTATCCCAGGCACAAATGTAATTAGCAAATGCATATAGTTTCAGAAAATTACATACCCTGAATGTATCTTCAAATAGAAAAGATCGCTCAAAAAACAATCTCGTTTGCATCATGTTCTTTATTAATGTGCCGTGCTGTCTATAGGACAAGATTATGGGACCCATCCTTCTAGGAAACTGTCTTTCGGAAGTTATCAAAACTACACATATGCAGCTTTATTAGACAAGAATGTAAAACGAGCTTACTGGAAGTTCATTAGACTCCAAATCTAAAGTACATTAAGACTAAAATGCATGAATTTCTAAAACATTTAGGCGAGTCCAATGATGTCCTTTCTAAGTGATATAATGTCCTTTATAAGTGATATAAAACCATTTGTTGGGATTGTTGCCCTGGCAAAGCTAGATTGTAGGTCCCGTACTAGGCCTCTTCTACCTAAAAGAAGTAAATAAGTCCAATATAACATGTTGTTGTATTACATTTAGGCAGCTCTCCCTAGTTGTCATAGATTTATAAACCCCAAGATTTAATCATTTCCATGGGAATGCCCTCTGCGACACTATAGGTTGTGCCATTCAGCATTTCTTATTTGCTGTTGTATAGCTACAACAATCGCTTTGAGGATTATAAATCCCATCCTTTTACCTAAGTGGTTTTTTATGTTTATCATAATGACTATCTTTGAGCTTCTCTCAAAAATTTTTCTAGTTAATGTAGAGTTGTAAGTCTCACCATCAGGCATGTGCCCTCTATGATACCATAAATCCCACTACTTGGCAGTTCTATCATTTTTCACATCTTCCAACATAGCAGTTGTAGGATTTTAAGTCTCGTTATCAGGTGTTCCCATTAATGAATTATAGAACCATCATTCCTGGCACCAACTTCCCAACTGTTGTCTCTGCCTTTTGGATAGCTTCCTTCCTTAAGCTGTAAGGCCCTTGTAACTAAGCATTCCTTTAATTGAGAAGAGTTTATCCCACATGGGCCCCACTTACCAACTAACCAATTTGAGAACGATTACTCATTAGTTTGTCCTAAGTACCCCTTTAAGTGCTTACTTTTCAACAAATTGAATTTTTTATCAAGTTCTCATCATTGTACCCTTGTACGTAATTAAACATAAAGTTATTGCTTCCCTGAAATTAAATAAGCAATGTCCTTATAACATTCAAGATAAATCAATGAGAAGCACTTACCAATTTGTCATTCAAAAGCATTGCATCAATGTTCCGCTACATGACTGAAGCCCATTAGAAAGATAATTTATTTATATCGCCATCAAGATTGTGTACACAATTGTATGTTTTATGGCATTAGTGTTCAACGAGGTTTAAGTACGATTACTCATTAGTTTGTCCCAAGTATCTCTTTAAGTGCTAAATTTTCAACAAAGTGAACTTTTTATCAAGGATTCTCAGCATTGTATCCTTGGATGTAATTAAACATAAGGCTATTGATGCCCTGAAATAAAATAATGCAAAGTTCCTTATAAAATTCAAGATAAATCAATGAGATGCATTTACCAATTTGTCATCCAAAACATTGCATCAATGTTACTCTTCGTGACAATTAAGTGGGAGCCCTTTAGAATGAGACAATTTATTTATATCACCATCAACATTGTGTACAGACACTTGAATGTTTTGTTGCATTACAGTTCAACGAATTTATTATTTAAGCTTGTGTAACTGAGTTGATCATATACATTATGTTTAATAGTCATAATACTCACTCATTTTATCACAATTCACCATTGATCACTGTTGTGGTGCAAATTGGTAGGTTGATTTGTTTGCCTACAACTCTGTTTGCTAGAATAATTGAGTGATACAACATCTATACTGTGTTTAGTAATAATTGCTCAATTTATTGCATTACAAATCTTATATGTATTGTCATCTATACTTATACATGAAAGTGTTCGATTAATAAGTAATAGTTTCAACGATTTTATAGCAAAACCCCTTATATAGAACAAATCTAAACTCATAAACATCGAGGAGCCTTATGATGTAACATTTTAACTTAATTTGAAACTCCTAAATTAAGCATGTTCGCACGAAAGCACTCTTGTGACGAATGACCTCTTGGAAAATTACACCAATGAGCAAAACCACGAGGTTACCAGGCCAAATCGAATAATATCTTGAATGGTGAGAGTTTGATCTATTAAAACTTGTATCAAAGCATTACAAAAACCTAATTATGGGAGCAAAATACTATACAAAATAAATTATTACGCCAATGGCACCACCTCTTGAATCCTAAATAAAACCAAGCACTGCATAGTGGAAAACACCTCTCGAATCTATAGGGACTACCTTTAATACTGTTCCAGAGCTCCTAGAAGATGTTTAAAAATAGGTTTTATGGGGAGGAGATTGTGGATTAGCGAGGGGGTGATAATACGAGTTATCAATGATGTTTGAAGGGGGATAAACGATGTTAGGCTGTTGTCTTAGTTGATATTAGCAACAAAAAAAAACTACAAAACAACAATATAACAATGGTGAAAGTAAATGATATAATGCTTTGGAGAGCATAAGCAAACATCTCTAAACACATTAACAATCGCAAAAATTCCCTAAATAGCAAATGAAACACATATAAAGTATTTCCGTTAGAAAATAACCTAAATATAACTAGAAAATAGGTAAGAACCAAAGAAGAAAAAAGCAAATGAAGGAAACTTCCTGAAAAAAAAAACAAGTGGGCACTGGAATCCCGCAGTCACAGAAATAATCGTGGTCCTTTGTGTTCCGCAATATTGCGGAAACGAGAAAGACGTACGTGTCAACCTCTAGAATCCAATTTGCTCAGCTGATAATACTAAATTAAGAATACTGATGAGGATGTTAGCTACTTAAGTAAACAAGATTATAAAATTGCTTAAAGATCAAGAAGCATTTTGCTGCAGCGATTGGAATTTCATCTGAAACTCAAAGTTCAGTTCAGTGATATTGGAGAAGAAAGCCCAAACCACAAAAGATTTACAAAAGCAAACTTTTATTGATATAAGGATAGGGTTACAACACACACAAACTAAAAATAACATCACCAACACATAAAACGACACAAACAACACCTTTAAAGTGCATCCCAAGGGCGGTGGAAATTGGCTAGATGGATCAGAATGGTTCACAAGAATGGTGGCAGCAAAGGAATGCTGATGGTAGCAAGGGGAAGCTGCATAATTGCAAGAAAAACAAGGTAAAATGCAGGGGATGGAGGGGCGAAAGCTGGGGAAGGGGATTAGGAGTGACCGGAGGCTATGGGGAAGGAGAAAAGCTGGATAGCCAAAAAGGGACGAAGGTACATTATCTTGGAGTGACACACAACCGACCACCAAAACCTCCTCGGGGACAGCCCACAAAGGGATGGAGAGTCCAGAAATAATTCAAAAATTAGCCATAAAATATTGTCAAACGGAGAAGATGAGGACAAGAAATGAGGAGAGGCCTTGACAGCACTACCGCCCCTTTCCAAGTGCTCGATCCAGGCGGAAGATGCGAAAGGAAGGTCGCATGGGCCGCTTGATACTTCTTGAAGCTTGCACCTCCCCTTGGACTGGCCCCCATGCTAGTCGGTTCAGTTGAATCTTGTTTTCCCACATATGGGCGGGAAGTTCCTGCACCCACTTCCTGCATCTAAGTGGGGACGCTTCGCGTCAGTCTCCTAGGGTTGGGTGAGCTTTGACCTCTTTCATCAAAGCTTCTGGTTCTCGTAAGCCGTTCTTGGATCCCACTGGAGACTGCTCTAGCTACCAAAGCATACCTCCCTGAAGATCCGTTTTGATGGGGCATAATATGAGCCGAAGGTACACCGCTATGTAGGTTCTCTCGAACCAAATTCCAAACAAATAAAGACCTCATATGCTTCTTATCTATGATAAGTTGGAGCCCTCAACCTTGTTGAGGGTTTGCAAGCGTTTGATTGATGGGAGAATTTTATTATCTTTCGGCACTTCCCACCGACTTTTTGAAGTTTTGAAGAACTGATATATCCTGCTGCATTCCATTAAATAGAACTTCACACAGGTCTTTCACATCTTCATCTGGAACACTGGGGGTGGGGGTTGGAACTGTAGCTGCCTGTGATGCTATCAATTGGTTGTCACTAAAATTATCCACTAAAATTTTAAATTTCAATAGCTTCTAGTCTCTGTGATCTTTACATGTCTCAATAAAGAGTTCTACATCTTCTAGAAGGTGATGAACCACAATCAGATCAAGCATTGCATGTTCCTCTTGATCACATGGAGGAAAGACATTGGATGTATCCATGAAAGAGAGAGTTCCACGGAGGGAAGATTCATCGGCTGAAATTCTTGTTTGAACTGCTCTTCAGCGTATGTCGCATCATTATCACATTTTTTTATGACGCCTTGCTTGATGAAGGTTGTGATTCTGCCTCAACATGTCTAAATGTGTGGCATTTACCATATTTTCTGGCAATGACAAACTTGGATATTATCCAGTCGTTTTTCCACGTCGGAAGCTGAAGTCTGCAACTTTTGGCGGTAGTAAGTTGGTAGGAACTAACACTGTGTTTCCCGCTTCATCTTCGCGTCTCCTCATTCTCCCCGTGGGCTCTCCCGATCAGGGTTGAGGGTAACCTCCGATGGATTTCATTATCAATGTTCGTAATCCACCGTTGAAGTCGATGGATCTCTCACGGTATGTCCTCCCGGGTAGGCTCGGACATTTATCTCATTAGTGACATGGTTAAGATTTAGGGTTGAGAGATGAAAGATGATATAGGAAAATTTTTGAAGGTGTATAACTTTCATTTGGGATTGTTGGCCTCGAAAATTAGCAAAGAGAATTTAGAGTTGAGTTTTTGAATGGGTGGTTTGGGATAGGAAAGAAAATTTTCAGGTGGGGGGGAAAGGCGGAAGCTAGGGAACCCTAAGATAAGACTAGAGTTAGGCTAGCACTTATATCAAATGATACCAGAGGAGAAATCCCAACCCACAAAAGAAAACTTTTATTGATATAAGGATAGGGTTAGAGCACACATAAACTAAAAATAACACGACCAACACATAAAACGACACAAATAACACCTTGAAAGTGCATCTCAAGGATAGTGGAGGTCGGCTAGGTGGATCGTGATAGTTGGCATGGGTGGTGATAGCAAAGGAATGCTGATGGTAGCGATGGGAAAAAGCAGAATTGTAAGGACATCAAGGTAAAATGCAAGAAATGAAGCGGTGGAGGCTAGGGAAGGAGGAGGGCTAAAAAGCCAAAAAGGGAGGAAGATACATCACCCCCTTGGAGTAAGATACAACCTTAACACCACCACATCCACGAATACAACCCACAAAGGGGAAAAGGCTTCACACTGGCAGCTGAAATCAACACAATAAAAATTACCCAACTCTAAAAACAACAACTAAATGGACTCTTACATGAAGAAGAAAGGACAGAGATAAGGAAAAAAACTCCCACACAAAATGAAGTGGTAGAGAGTCCAGAAATATTCAGAAATTAGCCCTAAAAATACTGCCAAACAAAGAAGACACATAAAAGGAAGGAGGAGAGGCCCTGGCGGCTCTGCCACCCTTTTCCAAGTGCTTGATCTAGGCAGGAGATGCGAAAGGAAGGCCGATTGGGCAGTTCGATCCTTCTAGAAGCTTGGACCGGCCCCCATGCCAACCAATACAGCTGGCTCTTGTTTTCCCGCACCCGCTTTCCACATCTACGAGGGGACGCCTCGCATCATTCAGTGTCCTGGTATGGGAGCATTATGGAACGAATGAACTTATGGGAAGATACATCAATAGGAAAGACTATGAGGTCATTAGGCTAAACTTAGACAAATATCTTGATGAGTGAGAGTACGGGCTTTTACACTTACTATGAAGGTCTGAGTTAGGAAAGATTTCAGAACAAATTCTAAAATGCCACTGCATGTGCCAATATTTCATAAGTTTCTTTAATAGATGTAGACAATTTTCTTGTATCATGGCTTTCATAAAAAGGGGCCTTATGGAGTTTATTTACGAAATGCAGTTGGAATTCATGCCAACAAGTATTTGTACCTGTAGATTATTGCACTCACTCAGATCTTTGTAAGTTGAACGCAGTCCTTGTAGGCATTGAACTCAGCATTGGGCTAGGATTGATTTAACATGACTAATTATTATATATGATAAACGAAAGGTTAAAAATATCATTTAACTACTGTATTTCTTGAATTGGTGATTCATTGCCCAACAAAGGACTCAATTCCCTAGGCAAATTCCATGTTTCCCTAGCACACAACCCCAAGTCAATGCCTTCTCTATTTTAACAGAAAGAAGCAAGAAAAGAAAAAATAATGGCTTTTTCATCAATAACTCTAGAAGCTCAAATTAAGAAGTTTCCATCACAATTACTGGCATAAAAGTAATAGCCGACTTTTCGAACATTATTGATCTTTGCTTGCAGTTTCATGTATCAAAACCTTTAGCATTAACTCAAGGTGTAAGATTATTTATAGGCCATAACATATTTTCAAGCATTTCATTCCAATGATATACATCAAATATTGGCATAGCAAAATCAAGGCAGCAAATTCACGCATGAGATTTTATTCACAAATATCCTGATGCTTCAGCAAAAAAGATGTAACAAATTCCAATCACAGCTACACATATGAAAAGCACATTCATGATTTATGAAATAAATTCATGATCCAAAGAACTCACATGAAAGGCAAAACAATAATTAAGCTAAAATAGATTTACAATTACTGAAGAAAAAAAAGAAATTACAAGGATGAAAGGTCTACCTGTTTAGCCTTTTCAAATTTCCCAAAGGTGGCATATGCATTAATAAGGGCCATGTAAACATATTTTGTTGCTTGAACTCCTGTGTGTTGCATTTCATCATAATACTGCAGGCATACAGAAACAAAAGGAAATAAAAACATATGAAATATTCTAATTCATAGCAAAATTGGCACCCATTTGGAACTGTGATCTGTTGTAACAGAAGGATGGATGACTATGAACCCATCACAAGATGGGGCAAAACAACCATAGCAGCATGATAAATCCTAAATAATTGGAAGGAAGTCAAAGATCCATCTAGATGAGATAGAGTTTTTATCTTTATAATGCTATAGCAAACATAACATCAAAGCTATAACTTTTTTATTTGCCTTACATGCACTAATTAATGAATATGAATACAGTAAAAAAACTCATTAACACTAAGAAGCATGCATTTTTTGGTGTGAGTTAACAAAGTGGTGCATCGGTCTAAGAAAAAGTGGAAACATAAAAGAGGCAAAGCCCGTGCAACATTGTTGATTTCTAGGAAAATGTACCTTAATTAACGAATGCCTGCACTTTGTATATGTTTTGCACTGAAAAGCTAAAAAATCATGTGTTGTATTATGCATTGCTTGTTGACAACTGAGAACATAAGAAATTAAAAAAAAAAAAAAACCCTAAAAACATGAGATTTAGGAGATAATCTACAACCAAACTACGCAATTTCAAAACCACAATGAATTACATAAACAGGAAACTAGATGTTGCAGAACATCAAGAACAAATACAAGATTTTGAAAGCCAGAAAGAAGCCAAACAAAATAATGTTAAAGCTCAAAGAAATAATAAGAAGGCAAAGGGAAGGATAAGTCAAAAACAAATTATAAAAACCCTAGTACAAGATTCCAAACTAGGCTCAAACCCAAATTATTTGTATGATGGATGTTCCAATTTTGGCCCAAGCTTTTAAAATTTGTACATTTCTTTCTCTCATTCTTTCTTTCTTTTTTTTTTCTTTTCTTTTTGGTGATGCAATCATGTGAGTTTTAAAGTGGTTTCTAGAAGAGAAGTGAAAGTGGTGTCCATGCATTGGTGGCATAAATTTTGTCAAAAATGCTTAATATCATCCTTTCTCTCATTGGCCATTTCGACATAAACAAGATTCTCCATGTAAAATCATGTGAATTTTGAATTGATTGAGTTAGGCTATAAATAGAAATATGAATGAATGAGAATTCATTTTTTCAATGCTTAACAAAATTTTCAAGGTTGAGAATTTTTGTGCTTGGTAACCTATCCTCTCATTCTTTTTCATTAGAGCTACATTCATTCATCCTATTATTTCAAAAATCTCGTCAATCACTCAAAAGGTAATACTTTCTTAGTGATTAAAGCATCCCCAACTGCCCATTTGCTCTTCCACAAAGCCCCAATCTTCCATGGAAATGGCTCAGAAGCCTCCCCAAATCTAACAACCATAATTCTTCCCCCTTCACCTAGTCTCCACAAATCCAACCCTCCGCCCACAAACCCACCCACACTTATCCAATAAATCCTCCCTACATCCCAGCATATCCCTTAAAACGCAGAACAACTACAAAGCTACCCCCCATGCTTCCATTTTTGCCTCCAATAACTTTACAAAAAATCAAAACCCATTGTATGCACTCAAATAAAACCCTTGGCTGACCTCTTAACCCATCATACCCCATTTAACCTTCATTAAACTGCTTCTTTAAAGAGCTAAACCAAATCAACCAAAATTAGCCTAATTCAAACAAGTATTGGGTCTCCCACCACCACACCCTCTGAAGGCCACACCTTCCCCCCCCACCCCCCCAAAAAAAAAAAAAAAAAAAAGTCCCAATCAACCCTGTACCAATTCAACAACCTCCCATTAGCCTTAATAAAGAAAGAAATCCATTTTTAACCCTCTTTCAAATTCATACAACAATGACTAGCTCAATTGCATTCAAAGCTCCTAGCAAACTCTAATATTTAAATAAAACAAGCACAAGTTAAGTCGAAAACTTGACGCACCATTTTAACACTTTCCCCACAATATTTAAGAGTTCAGGAAGCTCCTCAAATCAATCAGCCACAATCTCTTATGGAATACACTCCACCAATGTAACTCAAACATAATACACTGCTTCGATTCACACCTAGGCATTATATCATTTACAACATAACTTGTAAAGGATAAGCCAGAAGCATCAAAGATTTTTTCAAAGGTTAAGGCACTTCCACACTTCCAAGCAAACCATATACAGTGCAAGTTTCCAAATCAGTTCTAATATGTATCATTTCAAGGAAAAACTTTCCTTAATGGAGGTAAATATAGGAAATTATAATTCTCTCCCTCTTAATCCAATGGTTTAGCATAATTGGATCACGTCATGACTTATAATTTTCAAGCTGAGAACTTTAACATTTCATAGAACTAACGGCTACACACCATGCAATTTCACCAACCCGAGATACCATATGAACTGAATACGTGCAAGAGAAATCTATAGCATAAATGTTATATTGTAAATTTCTATCAATGAACATTGAAAGTACACCAACCGCCAAATTCATGCATCTCTGGCACACTTGTTTCCTCATCTTGAATGTTGCAATCATAAAACCTAGTATCGAGACAAACTCTATGATGCAAACTTACACCTAACTAGCTAAAGTCTTTCCCAACTTGTTCAAGAATTTTTCTAGTTGTCTTAAGAGTTCTCTCCTAAAGTTGCCCCATACAGCATATATAGCCTACCAACACTTCTAGCTCTAAAACAAAAGGAACCCTGCAAAGCTTAAGAATTTTAGTTTCACCATAAAATACGTACCTTAAATCATTACGAGTATAAAAAAAAAAGATTCACTAAGAAAACATGAACAATATGGCATCCCAAGTACACCAACGCAAGTCCTAATACAATAAATATCCATCCCTAAAATCTTACGCACCATTATTTATCATATAGATATTGTGGGTCTCATATGATTCATAAGTGGTATGTAAAGGAGAAAGTGTTGAACCGTACAATCCTAAAGGATGAAAATGGTCATAAACATTTTCTGCTGTGTGACAATCAATGGAAATGCTGAATAAGTCACGCATCCATTCAGCTTGGGAATTTTGAATTTATATGCCTCATATGTTGTTGTTGTTGTTGTATATTTATTTTCATGGAGAAATATAACTGACAATTTATTTCAGACAAAATTAATTCCTCCAGCATCCCCAAACTACTCATTGCAAATGAAATTGATTTGAACAAATTCTAATTCAAACCTTTGTCCGGACATGGTTTGAACTTGTTATAACCATGGTTTAAATGTGTAGGCATTGTGGGATTATGAACATGGAAAAGGCATCATGTGAAATCACAAAGAAAGGCATTGCTTAAAGCCTCTTAGAATGCTAAATCATAAGAAAAAGTTGCACAAAAACGGACAATAAAACTTACACCCTCTGGATGGGAGATGCCTTCTAACTCCTAAATGACTTTAAAGCCATGATGTCATCTCAATGAAATATAAGATAGGCTAACTAATGAAGAGAATAGGATGCATATGAGGGTCAAAATATGCATTATAGAAATGCAATGATTCTAACTTTACATGAAGGCATGCTTATGCCATGCGATGTGTCTATACAATTTGGCTCAAGCAAGCTAGAGACATTGTCTTGCAGAGGTACAAGTTGTCCCGAAGAAGTCATCTCCCTGAGAACTTGCAAGAGTTGAAAATTCCAAAAAAGATGATGGGTCGACGAAGTCAGCAGCTCAGTAATTTGAAGTTGCTGACTTGTTAGTGGCTTGATTAGAGTGAAGTTGCTAACCACAAACGTGGACAAGTGTTGGGATGGTCAGCAAGTTTAACTGGTGGCTAGAAACATTTTGCAATGCCTTTCTAGAATCCTAAGCGTGGCACAAGGACCTACCTTCAAGGGTTCCAAAGGAACCCTACAGAAAGTCCTGAAGTCCTTCCATTGAATCAACATTTCAACCACACCACTTCCAGAGAAGCGATTCAAGAAGGGCCGCTAAGTGGAGGACCTATCAATGAAAAAGAGATGGAAAGAAATGAACACCCAAAAAGCAGATGGGAAGGTAACAGAAAGATTACTTATGGGATACGACTTTAGTAAATCAAAATCTCCATGTGGCGTCTCAAGATTCGTAAAGCTAAAAGCAACAAGAGAAGGAAGAAACCCACAATCATTAGAATCTGTGGCATGCTAAAATTGCACACTACAAGACACAAAGGGAATCAAATATGAGAAGTGCGGGAAAACTATAAACTAACAACACAAGTGCTAGTAAACTCAAGAACTAAAAGGTTAACAGCACGAAAGTTGAGAGGGGTTCCAAAGAGCGGGGTACAGTCAATGGGGGACAACCAACCAACACTTGAAAAATTAAAAATTTTAGGTTTTATAGGGGCAGAGGTTGTGCTGCCTCTGCCATCACTCTAGGTCAAGACCACACAAGATAGTAAGCTAGAGAGATTATTTAGGTGCCTCATTTGACGCAACCAAACTAGATAAGAAGAGAAGTCTCACATTTTCTTGGTATACCCTTTTATTTCATGAAAGAATGAATTTTTGCAAAGATAAAACAAATGGCAACGCGCGACTAAAGGGAGGTCATCAAAAGAACAATCACCTCAAACCCAATAATGTTGAAAAGAAGCTCTTGCAAGATCTTGCTTGTCGAGGCGCACAAGAGATAAGCGATCAAGTCACCCAACCAGTGAAGCTAAGGAGGGCACCGAGAAGTTAGCCTATTAGCAAAGGTGACATGAAAGTAGACAGAGATGATGCGGAGACTTTCTTATGACAAATTGTCGAATTATTGATGAGATCCATGACCACGACCCCTCAAAAATACTAAATTAATATTACATATTTAAGATTTTTTACAAACATAAGTCGTGTTGACATTTCAAACATATGGATTTAAATATTTTGCATCGGCATACAAAATATTTATGCATTTAAAAAGAGTTCTTACAAATATAAACTTTGCATGATAACAAATTAAAAATAAACATGATTTGCCTAATACAAAAGAAAATTTCATAATAAAAATATCAAAAGTTATGTATGTCTTCAACAAAT